AGTTTATTCTGGATTTTTCCTACAACCTTAATGTAGTAAAAATTAATTTTGAAATGAACGGTGAAGTGGCAGAAGTACATATAGCTAAACAGTCAAAAGTTAAAGAAACACAAGCATTTCCCGCAGGCATGGATACGAACCCAGAAATCATGGTGTTAGGAGTCCAATGCTTTATCCATTCGGGCCTAACTGGGTCCGTTATGAGTTATGGCGGCAGCCAGGTGGGAGACGCGGTGGCTACGTGTTGGTATAATGTTAATCTGTACGCCGATCTATTGATCGAATAGAATGTGTTTATAATTTTAAGGCTTTTAACGTTTTTTGAAATTCTTCAGTGCCAGGAAGGCGCAGGACCTCGGGCGGTCAGGGGAGCGTGCTGAGGTCTGGGAAAATATATTTAGTTTTCCTCTAGGCCCGCGGAGTTCTCGCTAGTTATGCGCACGAACACACAAACCTGCGATGGGGGGTCGCGCCCGGCCGGGTCATACAGGTTGGGCACAATCTTTAACCCTCGACGTGGAGCGGTCACGATATTCGCGATGTGGGGAGGGGAAATGCCGCAACACCGAGTTGGGGATGATCGAAGCTGGGGGGGTCAAGAGGTCAAAGATCCAAGAGGGAAAGAAGGGGGAAAATTACTCCTTATTAAGTATAGGGACGGAAGGGAGCATGCAGGGAATTGCGGCACAAATCTTAGAACCAGCTCTGGAGCCGGAGGGCGTATAGGTCGGTGTATAGCATCAATGGTAGAAAAGCCATCTGCACTTGGGGGGGCCGAAATGTGGGGAGTGGTCAGCAGCGGGTCGAAGGGAGGGTCGAAGGTGGGGGCAAGCAGGGCAGGATTTAAGGACAGTTTGTCTGAGGACGGATGCCGGTCTGAGCGGAGCCCGATGGGAAACTTTTTTATTTTCAGCGGTGCCCCTAGCATTTTATGGCTTTATTGCAGAAGGATCCATGAATGTGCCCTTGCGCGTACATGCGACCAGGTGTAAGTGTCGATAACCTTTTGACCCTCAATGAGGAGGGTTAAACTTGATTTGTGACTGTCCTTGTTTAAGAAAGAATATGAACTGCCGGTTTGCTGAGGTAGAATGCTATACATGCCTGTGATTGTATGAGGCTACAATCTCACCGGTGAAATTCAAAAGCACATTCTGGTTAAAAAAGGTGTATGTTTCCTTAAATCATATAATTTTCTATGTCATCTGATATGTGCAGTATGCTTACATGTATACGTATGACCACTGCCAGTAGGCCTGCTGCAGTGCATGTGTTTGGTGCACGGTTTTGCCGTGCGTTACATTTGGTACAGGTGGCAGCCTCCTATTGCAATTTGCCAGCTAAGGGCTTGCGTAGGTAAACTGATGAGTGGCTTACTAGTTACTGTCTTGCAAAAGTTGTTGCACTACGTATGATGGGGCTTCCATCTTAACTGAAGACACTTAAACGTAACGGCAGCCATCTTGAATCGTGCAACTTTCAAACGATACCCAACTGAACTCATGGGTGCTGTTTGAGAAGGTTTCCTGAGACGCGATGCCGGCCGGCTGGGTCATCTCCACTGTTTTCGGCCCGTGCTATGATGAACACCATTTGGGGACTAGGCAAGGGTTTATGTACTAAGAACCCAGCAGCGGAGGCTGGCCGACCACAGCGAGTCACCGGGAGGACGTTAGAGTGGGCCGTCGCTGGACTGGCCAACTATGTTTATGCATTAGTCCACACACCCGTACCGGGCCGAACTCATCAAAGAAAAGTTACATACACATATAAACTAGTACACATATATATATATGCCTATGATATATTGGCCTGCTTATCTTTGTAGCATGAGTGGTTAGTGGTTCTAGTAGCGTATAAGGTCTAACCACAGGTTGCCGGATCAACAGACGTACGAAGACCTGCATGTGTCTGAGGTACTGTTTTGTGAATGTTATCAGGTGGATACAGCGATCGATCGTCATCGGGCGGGTACCAGGATAACGGTTATGGTAGATCTTATGGTAAGTCATTATATTATCAAACGGCAGTAGAAGCTGCGCCAAGTGTCTTGCTTAATAGGTTAGGAAGGCGTCGCGTGAGCATCGCTTCTATCGTCGAGCAGGCATCGTGTCTATTGAGCGCTGACCGGCCATCACTATAAGTGTTTGCGTGTTTGCTGTGTAGGTGGCAGCCGCGACAGCTACGGATCGGGGCAGGACAACTACGGTGGCCGCAGCTCCGACAGCTACGGTGGCAGCGGATCCCGTGACTTTGGAGGCTCCAGGGACGCTGGCGGATCCAGAGATTTCGGCGGATCGAGGGACGTCGGCGGATCGGGCAGCAGTTCCTACGGCGCGTCCGGGGGCGGCGGATACGACAGTTACGATCGCGCTCCGGCTAGAGAATCATACGGAGGAGGCTCGAGTGGTTATGGCAGCAGTGGTGAGTTGGCTGATTGTCAGTTCTGCAAAGTTCATTAACGTGTATTTCCATGTGAATTTCCTGGTCTCTTATGAAAGAAGTTTTTATCGGAAGATAAGGTGGTTGTTAATTGCTAACAACACCTTGGTATTTGTAACAAAATTGTCGGACAAAATGTGAACATGTATGTTAACTGATTTCTGTGCCAGGAAACCTGAACTTTATAATTGTGCTTGAAATTGAATTTTGAGTATGCTTATGATGAGAACCTTATAGATAGATACATATAATGTAGATGAGTCTATCACCAAGATCTCTGATGCATTTTCCAGTATTGCTTCATGAATGTGGTTGGAAGTTGTGTGCATGACACAAAAGATACAAAAGAAAACACGATGAAAAATATAAATTTGTTAATCTAGACAATTCCATGGCAAAAAAATCAGCTGTGTACCATATATGCAGCTAAAAACATCAGCTGCATGCATTATATACGTTTCTCGAAACCGTTTTTTTTTTTTATATGAACGTGATATAAATTCAGCAAAGGCACATACTCTTGTTTAGTGATGTCAGTTTCCAATAGAACCGCTCGCAAGTGATTCGTCGTGACGTGTATTCGTGTTTTTTCGTTCGCGTTTAGTAGGGCCGTCGTCGCGCGAAAGCTACGGCGGCGGCGGTGGCGGTTACCACGGCAGCAGCGAGAGCAAGAGCTACGACTACGGTGGCGGATCCGGCAGCTACTCCCGCGAGTCGGGCGGCTACGGTGGCGGAGATTACAGCGGACGCGCCGGCGCTTCAGACTACGCGCCGCGCTCGGAGGGACGCGAGAAATCCCACTACGATCCATACGGTAGGAGCGGCTCTCCCGCGTAGTCTCTCACCTTCACTCTTGTCATGAGAGTCCTGCTGCTTAGCATGTGGAAATGCAGTCGATGCTTTGCTGGCAGCAGCATGTGTGTATTGGCGAAACACGCATTGCAAGAGAAATTTCCTCACTGTTTTTAAAACATTTTAATATTATTTTTAGTGTTAAAGGGACTACGTCACGAATTTTTTATGGTTTTTTTTAATCATTAAAAGTAAGAACTAACTGGACTAAAATCGTCAAATTCTTACCTGATAAGATTGTTTCTTCAACTATTAACAAATCAAAAAACGCTGGACGATTTGAATTAATTTTCTCAACATTAATTGCTTGCTATGGGCTATGTATGAGGTCACGGGTGTATGTTCACATCGAACAATGATAGTAAAATAGGAAGTAGTAAGGGGCAGCAATTTAACCATAAGACTGGTGAACAAGGAATTACTTATTTTGTACTATTTAGTGCAGTAATCACTTTAATATTGAGTCGCAATGGTTTTGTTGTTCTTGTTGTTGCCTAATTGAACAATATTATACTGGAATATTCTACACCTATGAAACTGTTTTTTTTAATGTTGTTCTAAATTGTATGCACCCATTTTGGCACTGCATACAGTGATCAACACTAAAATAGCAGCTTGCCAAACTGGCAGTTGGGCGCATATCATACGTGCGAAATTCATGGGTCTGTGTGCGTGCGTGTGAACAGAATGCTGGCTAATGTAGTAAGATATACTGTCACCTGACCATTAAACTGTCAGTCACCAGTAGGTAGGGTTCTGAGTTGAACTGATATTGCCAGAGCACCTAAATGCAAGACTTTTCTCCTTCAATACTTGCCAATTCTCATAGTTCGTTTGTTTGGCATAGTTACCTCCGCCCAACGGAGTTGGAGGAGGTTATGTGATCGCTCTTGTGTGTTCGTGTGTTCGCGCGATCGATATTGGCGCGTCAGCGAGCCAGCGAGCGTGTACATGTGAGCGAGCAGCAGCAACGAGCGAGCGAGCGAGCTGGCGGAGGTATGCACTCTCCGTGAATGCCCTCTGGCTAGTTCTTGATGTGATGCATAAGTTCTAGTGTGCGTTCTTATATAAAAGAATTCTACTTCCCTCACACACATGTATGCACTTGGGCTCCACCAGCAAAAAGCCGTGCATGTTCTCCGATGAGATTGAGTGTTCATCTGGTTATGGGTTCCATGCAGCAAACAAGAAAACTGCAGGGGAGTGCCCTCAGAGTTTTTGGGTAGCTAGACGTTTTTTTTATCATCAGAACTGATGAATAGATACAAGTAATTTGATTGTCTAGAATTATCATGGATATTTCTTGATGATAGTGAATTCTCATGATAATTTTCAAGTTCGAATCCGTCAAATGGGTTATCTACGTTTGAAATTCTGCATGATTATTTATGATTATTAGAGGAATTATAAATTGTAAATAACGTTTAGTTCCACAAAGCTTGCATAATGTAAAGGCCGTACTTTCAATGACAGGACTGGTGTTTTAGGTGTAATAGTTGACTGCGTTAGTAGTCGTAACTCTCACTAGGTGGCAGCAGGGATTTGTTTAATAACAGCAGCACATTGGTACACATTGTTTGTGTGGGTAGACTGAGCAAAGAGCAAACGCAAATACTTGTACAGTCCACATGGAATGATTTGGGTTCTGTCGAGAGAGAGGGAGAGAATGCGTTAACCAAACCAGATGACGTTCAGTTTTTCTTCAGAGGTGCGGACTCAAAACAAAAGGTTTGAGCTGGCTTTTGATAGTTTGGTTCAAAGCTGATTTGCATGTGATTCCAATTAAAACTTGTTAAAATGCTACCATTTATCAGGAAATAGGGTCACAAATTGCCGCTGAGAAAACAAACTAGTCATCAGGTGTTGTTTTAAAATTTTCTGCGGGCGCATCTGAACGTAATTCCCTCGCAAAACAAAATTCTGCTATATATTTTAATTTGCGGCAGCGAAAATGCTTTCCGCATGTCCACGCCCGACCGTCGCCGTAACCGTGGAAACCGTTCGGTACGGAGACAGGAAGTTCTTCGCAGAATTGCAGAGTTGAAAAAATAAACAAAAACTGTACTTACCGTCGACGGGGCTTGTGGTGCGCGCGCGGGATGGATAGGCAATTTTTCGGTGCAAGTAATGCGATCTAGTGCCTTGTTTTTTTGTCCGGCACGCCCTCGCATGTGGGAGTGGGAACCGGCTAATGGTACGAGATGGGGTTAACCCGAAAGGGCTTCGGGTGCTGGTCCGTTTGTTTGACGGCAGACACCGGCGCTAGCGTCGCTGGATAACACTTGTGAAGCCACCAAACCCCCATGTCGACTTCCGTTGCTTCGGTGACCTCTGCTGAGCGAAGTCTGCCATGAATCGTGAGATTAATCTGTGTCATAACATATAATTCTTCGCTGGATCTCCCTGCGTTCGAAATCTCATTACTGCGTGGCATTATGCAACTGTCTTGACATGCTGCTGGGCTAGGAGAATTGTGACATTGTGCTGAAGGGCTTAGCTCGCATTCATGCTGAGCCTGACCCTTTCATGCGCACCCCAGGTGTCGTTGAATAACCTGTAACTATTATATAATCTTGCCTAGTGATATAATCACGATTGTTAGCAGCAGAGAGACTGTGGACAGCGTATTATATAGACAGACTAGCTGGCACTGCCGAATATTTGTACTCTGCGCTGGTTGTTTTTTTGTTATCACCAGAAGGTTGCAATTAGACCAATGTAAATATGTGTCGAAAAAGCCCGGCTCCCCGCTGCTACTACCCCTAAGTGTAAATATTGAATGTTTGTTTTGATGTTTCATTCTAAGAGCTGTTTAATGAAAATATAGGCTTGTCTGGAGTTAAATAAGGTAAACTGATAGGGTTGTTTTCATTTTTGCAAGCTGGAGACTGCTGTTCAACCACGGTCATGCCGGTTTTTGCGTGTCCACTGACAGACTGCGTGTTTCTCGCAAATGGGTGCCTCCATGTGGGGGTTGGCCTCCATACGGTCAAAACTAAAAGCAAAACGTTAATCGCACACATAACGGTAGTAATTCAAGTCATTGTTGTTTCAGGGGGAGGCTCATCTGGTGCCTATGGGAGCAGTTACGACAGTCAGAGCAAGGACTATGGTAAGAGCATCTACTAATAGTTTACCGTCGGTTTGTTTTGCGAAACTCCAGGCCACCGTGGCCTCTGTGTACTTCCTGACATTCGGGTTGATGTCGCTCTTGAAGGTTGTTGCCACTGTGTATTCCAGTTGCGGTCAATTTGTGATTGGGAGGCTCTAAAAGTTGTACAATCCTTTATCTCACTTAGAAGGCAAACGTTGCTAAAATGGAATGCCAGAGTATTACCGTCAAGCAGTATTATTATATAATGACGTTCCCGGTGTTCCTGGTTGTTGCTATGCAGGGTGCGAAATTCACGGGAGTCCGTAGTCAAATACTCCCTGATTTGACATATGCAGGAGTTCGTGTGACTCCCTGAAAATTCTGCCATACTAACTAGTTCAGTTCCGGAGCACGGCCTCGCGGAATTACTGTATTTTTTCAGCTAATGTCCAAAGAAAATTTGGCAGACATGCAACTGCATGAATCTTAAAAATAAGCACATGCGTTATTGTTAATATCTTTAATTTTGAACCCCAGACTGCGGACTCCCTCCCTCATTTTGCTGCAGACTCCCTGTTTTTGAGGGTAGGGAGTCCGTTGGACTCCCTTGTTCGAAAGTCAATTTCTACCCCTGCTATGGTAACGCTACGTTGGGTTTCTTCTTGCGGATGAAAACATTTACCAGAGATGCCAACCGTTATGATTCGGACAGAATAATTATGGTATTTAACACTTAAACACATTAGGTATCCACTGATATACTATGACTCCTACTATCAGTGTCGGGTAAATATCCTTGGCTGTCAAAAAAATCTAGGTCACTATGAGTGGCGCGTTTGTATTGCCGCCAAAATTGTTAACGCGTAACAGTCTGATAGACTCACACACGTCGTCGTTACTGTGCATGTGTGCGGCAGGTTGTTGATCGCATGTCAGTCTAGAACACGCTCGTGACTTCTCGGTGTGGTTCCACCATGGAAGTATGTAGTAACTAAAGGTTATAAATGTATTTCTATGGCTTTGACACGCTCACAGTACGTTCGTGTAATTAAGGTATTAGAATATGTATCATAACATATGAGTGACAGTAGGGTATGACCTTCCGTATGAACTTCAAGTTACAATATTAACGAGTCGGGCATTTGATTACACCAGAGTCACGTGTGTTTAAAATGTAGCTACTAAACATGCTGTTGGGGAACTGGAACTGGAACTGGGGGGGATGGTTGATTCGATCTCGGAGCTAAAAAATGAAATAATAAAAAAATCTCTAAAAATCTCTGTAGGCTGATGCCATTTCTACACTTCGTTAATAAGAGAGCCATCATTGCCATAAAATCGTTACGCCAAGTCACTCGATAAGGTTGGCATCTCTGATGTACTTCGGGTTTTCTAGAAAAAATCAAGAAATAAATTTACTGCAATTATGAGGCTTTTCTCGATAGTGTAGCCGGGTGCACTTATGGGCCGGGAGATTTATGAAAACACTGATGGCGTAGTTGGCAAACATGGTCACTATCCCGTCTGCCTGGTGCAAACAAAACTGCAAGAAACTAAGAGACTCTCCCTCACCCACCGCATGCGAAACGATGCAAATGGGTACATTTCCTTTGCACCGCCGATAAATTCACAAATGGGATGAGCGGCAGGAAATGGTAATTGATTCGGCGTGTTATTTACATTTTCTGCGAAAACAAATCTGTTCCTGTATTGAAACCACGACGTTCCGAGGTGAAATTATTCACAAGTGTACGCCGGTCCTGGCCAAATCGTGCTGCCGAGGCGATCGCTCTCGGAACTCTTTAAATATATCTCCGATAATCGAGAAAACAAAATAAGAGCCGTGCCCAAATAGAACTCAGATGCTGAAGGAGCTCATAAACAGACGAGTAACAGATGACGCGACGCGGTGTTGTCGTAGGGTAATACTCTCGCCTTCGCCCGTAAATAATCTCTCTCGCCGAAACGCGGAACATGGCCGCGAACAAAGACGGCCATTTGCTTTAGGAGATAGTCTGCCGCTACCCCGGCGATCGTCGTTAACGCGTAAACTTTCTGTATCTTTTGCTGACGACCAAATGGAGGATGTACGACATCGTGTTTTTTTGCAATCAGCAGGCATGCTTTGGTGGGCCAGCGCGTGTGAATTGTTGTCCAATCAGTTGGCTCTGTGGGCGGGTTGCTGAAATGCCAAAGTCTTGCATGTTGCCAGATTGCACGTCCAACTCAATTTTGTAGGCCACGAAAACGTCCGTGTAAAAACTGACAAGGAAATTTTCATTAGAAATGGCAGGCTGGTATGAGTGTCGTGCGTTCACAGGGAATTTCTCGAACCATTTTAAACCATTAAAGTACACGTGTGCACAAAAGGTGTAGTGGTACATGTACAGATATCGTGAGGCAAGATTTCCTTATATGACCTAAAACGTAGGAACCATTCGTTGTTAGGTTTGCCGAATGATTTTAGCCCAAAATGCAAGTGGCTGGTATTCTGGAAGGTGAAGGCATTCTGAATAATATCACAATTACTTTTGTACGGCTGCTTCTTTCTACAATCCCAGCCTCACTTGAAGTGAAGGTTATGCAGGAAATTGTCATCTGACAAAGAACATGCCATGTACCATGCCTCTGTGCAACTGCTTCAACACCCTGACGTCTGTTATCGAGCTGTTGAATAATTGCATAATTCATGATAAGTGTTCCATTGGGGAAACGAGTGTGAAATGATGTGTCACTATTTTATCCTCCGGGCATTATTACATTTCACGGTGACCACTGAATGATTTTTCTGTCGCTGCGAACGCGTGCGACAAAAAACGCTAGAGTTTCTCTCACGCATATGTTTCTGAACCAGTTTGAATTTGAATGTGTGTTTTAATCATCTGTCCAACCCTGTCACGGGTTGTTTTCCATGTTCGCCTGCAGGTGGCACAGCACGCGGTGGAGGTTATGGCAGTGATTCTTATAGCAGCAGCTACAGCCAAGGGGAGCGGGGTGGCGGCGGCGGCGGCGGCTATTCGTCGCGTGACTCTGGCGGCCGCTCGGCACCCCCGCGCAGATACTAGAGCGCCCGCCGCCGCCGCGTGCTACGGCGAGTCGTTAGCGTGTCTCACGTAGGGAAAAGCCGCAAAAAAAGATCCAATCGAAATGCAGAACATGTCGATGCGGCATTGGTCCGAGTCGGATCGTCGGAAAGGCGGCACGTGCTGTTTCGCGTAACCGAAATGTTAAAAAAAATACGGCGTTGTCCGAAGAAAAAAAAACTACGTTTGCACTGGTTGTCCGTGCCGCGAAAGAACGCGACATTGAAGCAGCGCGAATCAAACGAAACCACGAACAACGCGCGATCGTGAAAGCGTCTGCGTGCGTTACGAAATTAGGAGGGGGCGGCCGCTAATGCCGTGTACGCAAAAGGTAGCGGCCACGTGAACGTGGCAGCGTAGAGCGGTCTTACAAACGTCCTTGCCACAGTATTAAACCACCGGCGGTGCGCCAACGATGTGTTCTTGCATTCAATGTCAGTTTGGGACCTGAAGGAAACGGCTAGCGGAAAATACGAGAGGGCAGATAACGTTAAAATTGTGTAGGTGACGACAACGCACTGTGTTGTGCTGTATACCCCCCTAACCATGTTCGGTTTTTTTTTGTCCATGCCTTTCCTCTGCCCTAAACTATGTTCAAGTGTACGAGGTAGTTTTATCTATCTATAGCGTTTGCGTGTAAATATACGACTTCGAATTCGGATTCGGATTTCGCACAGCATCCCGAGTCTGAACGTGGCAGGTAGACCCACACGTGTATAATGTATTCACTGCTCTAATCACGCACTAAGAGATAGAAATGAACGTGAATGACTGCCACAAGCATCAACTATAAGCAGTTTAAGTGAAGTATTTAATTAAAATTGTACAAAGCCGCACAGTTTTGCATTTGCGAAACATTTCGTCTATACACGTATTAATGAGCATGTAGGTTTAGGCAAGCTATTATCTTATCGTTAGTTATTGTGTGGATATTTGTCAATCTAAAATCAATGCACTTGAGTGAGGTCTGTGTACACGTATACGCGTTCGGGTCTGAAAGAGGCGCTTTTAAACGAGAAACGGGCGGTTGCGTGACTCGTGTTGTGACGGTTTGTGTAGTAAGTGTTTTATCTTGTATTTTATTTCACAAGTCGTACATACTCAGTACTAAATATGACAGACTAAACTCTATTGCATTCTGAATTTTGTGAGTGCATACTGCCCTGTAATGCTGTAACACCGTATCTTGTTCGTGTCTACATTTTATCTTGAATAAACATACATTCCTGTGGAAACCATGGTAAAATATTTTACATTAGGATGTTAAAAAATTGTACGTCAGAATATTCTTTGCGGACTGGATAATAACAATTTAAATTAAATGTTTGCTATACACAACTTGTACCATTAAAAATTTTAAATCTTATATCTTTAAACCTCTTTGAGATCTATTCGTGGCAAAAACTAAGTATTGTATAATTAATTAAGTTCTTATCCAGGTATTTAGTGAAATAGCTCGTTATATCACGTAGAAAATTAATTGTAGTATTTTGGGATGTTATGCCAAACGTGGGTAGAAGAAGCTCATTGTATAGAAAGAGTTTTCCTGGATGAATCGGCTGTGGAGTAGTAGTAACGCAAGCTCGTAAGCCCACTTGTCCGGAGAGTTGCAGATAAATGGTAAAATATGGTGGCGGCAAGTCGATGCCATCGCACGCAATAATGAAATGCAGTCGAATGCCGCGTGTTGCGTGGCGGAAAAAATTCCCTCAGTATTGCTTTCTTCTCAAATTTAATTTGTCACGCTGCTTTTGAGCGGTGCAATGGATAACCTTTTCGGCAGGCCAATCATAACATTCTAGCATTACCGCGCGCAAGTGCAGTGAAAAACATCCCACAAGCATAAGAATCTCTGCTGGGTCCGTTTAAGCAGGCTATCGCTTTCTTGCATCGGATAGGCCTGGGATGCCCATTGGAAGCGCTCATTTCGGGCATCTTTTAAGTTACTGTTATTGCAGCGTCGCGTAGGCTGTTTATTTTGGATATCGCTTACCAGGTCTGCAATAAGTAACTTTGTCGGTGGGAGGTTGGCTCTGTGGGGGGTGCGGAGGTGTGTGTGCGTGCGTGCGTGATTCATGCTTTGCAGTGTCTCTGCGGGACTGGTCGACACTGAGAGGTTCGATGTCATCGTGCATGTGTACAATTTTCGTCCTCCACCGTGGTTTCGCTGTGCAGTCCGTCTCCTTTTACAAGGCTGTACTCGAGCGCGTGCTTGTGTGTGTGCGTGCGTGCGTGCGCGCGCGCGTGTGTGTGTGCGTGCGTGCGTGCGTGTGTGTGTGTATGCCTGTGTGTGCGTGTGCCTGTGTGTGCGTGTGTGTGTGTGTGTGCGTGTGCGTGTGCGTGTGTGTGTGCGTGTGCGTGCGTGTGTGTGTGTATGCCTGTGTGTGCGTGTGCCTGTGTGTGTGTCACAGACTTGCCCTGCTCGAATTAGGTTCGGTGCGAAATCGAAAGGAAACGCGGACCTTTTGATTTATTAACAGTTTGGTCGCAGCGGGAGTCTCCTCTCAGAATCGGTGTGCTGTGTTAGTGCTCTCTTATTTATTGTGATTGCTATTCTAATTGCTTCGCTTCGGAAAACTTTCGGTCGCGAACTTTTGCGTCGGCCTCTACGCGGGACGGCGATGCCATTTGTATCGTTCGTCGCTCGGTCGTGAGCCACCGCAACGTCATTAAATCAGAAGATTTGTCTGTCAGAGACGTTAGTTTTAGTTTGCCCACGGATACGGGGGAACCAGCCATATCGTCGTACGTGCTTTCCGAGTACGGTGCTGTCGTATGGTAGTAAGTGTGTGAATGGTTGGCACACGTCGGTGGACGAACGAGAAACGCGTGCCCGTGTGTGTGTGTGTGAATTCTGTTCTCATTCCGAGCACGTTCCTGCTGTCTCCAATTTGTCGCAGCCGTCGTTGTCTCGACCGGTGAACGCCTTGTGCGGTTTTCCCGACATGTTTTTTTTTTGGTACGTAATTTCGTCCGCCAAACAGCGCCACGCTCGTCGCTTTCTCCCCCGAATACTGTATACGCTGTATATTTCGCGGTGGTTTAATTTTCGCGAATTTAGCGAACGCGTCCCCGACCGCGAAAATAACAACACGCGAATAATTCATACCGTTTAATACCGAATAATTCATAATTCACCGACCGCGGAATTGTCCGTCAAGTCTGAATTCGCGAAAATATCTGTACGCGAAAAATATGGCGTATACAGTAGTTGCGTTGGCGTCCCTCGGCCATTAACGACAACTTTTTTTCCCCCAAATTACATCTTTTCTCCGTCGGCGAGGTACGGGAACTTTGGCCGGAACGGCGGCCCGTTTTCGGCACGCGCGTCCGTGCGCACGGGCCGCGGCGGGTTTCGCACGCTGCAACTACGGCGCTGTCGTTGTAGTCGCGTTCTCCTGAGAAAGCGCACCTCGCGCGTTTTTGCTGCAGACGCGAATTAGAGAGGAGCAGCAGAAGCGCATTTTTGCACGCCAGCACTCCCTCAGCCGACGCTGTCTATCGCGGGCCCCGCGTCGTTCGTTGTTGTGCGGTCGTTGCGCTGCCGGGTAATTGGATGAAACATAACTGATACATTGTGCCAGCTAAACGCCCTCGGGGCTCGCTGACACGCTACAGGTGTGAAGTGGATTGTCTGGGTGTCATTTCGGGTGACCCTTATCGTGCCTCCATCTCCCTGCCGTGAGCGCGCAAACCTGCACGCCCGCCGCCATATCGCTCAGGTGCAGCAGCTGCGCACTTCAGCAACGCGCGGGACGGGCCCTTGCCTGGAAGCTACTACTACCTGCGTATCTACACCCGGGTAGCTAATCTCCCGGATTTCTTTTCAACTGTCCTTCTTTTACTCTTACGACTCCGATTGGAAAATGCGATGCCGATGCGATCCCCCGCATGTCAGCTTACGGTGCGCAGGCATCGGTTCGCGCGAGTTGCAGTCCTTTATGTTGCTAGCACTGCATTATGACTGCATGTTACACTCGGTGATTCTGCCGGCCATAAATCGTCGCGGTAAGAAAAACGACTTTCTCCTTTTGCGCGGAATAGGTAGCTAGCTATTCGGACAAGGTCAGCAGATAAAATGTGCGCGTTGATAGATAAACGCGTGGCAACCCTTTGCGTACGTGTTCCCCCTGCTAATGTAGTGTTCTGCTGATCGACACCTCACCACTTATAAGAAACTCGTGTCCTACGGGCTCGCCGTTCGGGCTGCGTTGTTTCTTTAGGACGTCGCCATAGCAACGGAAAGCGATGCGGTGGTGTTGCAGCCGAGATGAGAGGGAAGGTAGAGCGAGAGTAGCACGAGTGCGTCTGCTAATGTACGTATGCTGTACACGTATGCGGGTCGCAGTGTGCGATAACAATCTTAATGCAGGTAAAGTGCTGCTGCGAGATTCGAAGAGGTGGGGGGGGGATTTCTCGAGTTGTTTTGCAGAAATCGGCTGTTTTTCTGCGTGCGCAGAATTCGTCTCGGAATTAGTGTCCGGTTTGCCATTTTCAGCCTGACTCAAGTGACCAGTGCCTGGGTGTCTGGCGAGTACATGGGTGTATGCATTGCGTGTAGATATATTTTGTGTGTGAAAATATAATTGAACAAATGGGGTATGTTTATAACAACAACAAAATACATGCAAACTCGGTTCAAAACAATTTCGTCGACCAATTAGTTTTTGAATTGAAAAGGTTATCGATTATAAGTGCGAACTACTGAACGGGAAAAAAATTGACAAGAAATATTGTTCCAGAAAAAAATTCTTAAAATTCTATTATTCTAAAAATCTATATCAGCCAGAGTACAAGTAAAGAGAAAACACAAAACCTGGCTGTCAGCCAAAAAAAAATTCTACAGAATCTGGTGAATACAGAGTGTATGGTTTTAAGCTTGGTTGTTCCTCTACGAGTAGAACAGGCGGTGTTCGATGATTGGTTGTTCCTCTACGAGTAGAACAGGCGGTGTTCGATGATTGGTTGTTCCTCTACGAGTAGAACAGGCGGTGTTCGATGATTGGGGCTAAAAACTAATTTTGATATTGATGTGAGCCGACTCTATGTGATGATACGCACAGTCCGGTCGTGTAGAGAGAGGTTTGCTGCAACGAATGTCTCTGCTGTGAACTGAATTGAACTGAGATGCACCTCAAGGTAGCCAAGGTAACCTGAGATATGAACAAGACAACGTAATGTAAGTATGCTATCAGTTAAGTCCAAGAACGGTTTTTCGAAAATGGGGGAAAATGTGAGGCAACGGCACGCAAATCGGTGCTGAAACAACATTGAGGAAAACGAAAAACCGAAAAATCTGGAAAAAAAAGTTGTAGTGCAAACGCACATTTTAACAATCTGAAATATAAACTAAAATGGAAATATGTGACTAAAGCAGCCATTAAGGAGCGTGTGTGCCACGAATCTCTGAAAAATGACGCGTATAAATTCTGCCTCTGTTGAAAGTAACGGGAAAACATTGCACGTGCTTTGTTAGCTGTTCGTTCTCACCTGCATGCTATTTATCACGAAAGTTGCTGCCAATAGTGTCATGCAACTGTATCACAGATGAAAACCCGGTTGTCTACTGCTACTGCTACTATTACTACTAATAGCAATATTCTAGACTGGTTGAGAGAGAGACTGATGGCAACAACGTACAATGTCTGCGGTTGCTGTCGGATCATCGCTTCCTGCAAGGAAAGGCAACGCCAAGAGCCACAATAGCTAAAAGCGGTAAAATAGGGTCGAACCGGTTAGAACTTAATTATATCTAACAAATACTCAATTCTGCGAAGAATAAATACTCTACTCTGATATCAATACCAAATACGAATACTCTAACGAAATTCTGCACCAAAGGTGCAATGCACAAAAGTCAGTGTACAGTGTCAGTGAATGGGAATGCATTTAAAAAATGATGGCAGTTGGAGGGAAATGCACTGGAATGTGCAAAGAGACAAAGAACCCCCAAATATTGTTTAAAATACAGAAAAAAGACCAGCAACTAAGTGAAACCGAATCGGGGTAGAGAGGAATTGCAAACGTATAACGAAACTCATATGTAGAAGGCAAGATATGTAATATGAGACAACTTGCCATTGAAAACGATTGGACGTTCTCTGCTGTGCTGTACTGTGTGTTAACTCGCACATTGTCTCATTCGTGTGCGTGATTTTCAGATGGTGGATCTACAGGGGCATAGCCACACTGCTGCTGTTCTCGGCTGAACAGAGTGTGACCTACACCACAGTCTACCGTGATGTGCAAGCTGTCCAAAGCTAATGCGTTTGGCAAACGCACATTATCAATCGTCGCTGACAACAGACCAAGGTAGAGATTCTCCGCTAATATGCTAATAGCGTAATTGTTTGATACGGCTTTTGT